ATAAAAAACAAAATTAAATTAATATAAAATTAAAATACATAATTCTAAATCAATTAACTTAAAAGAATACTAATATTGCATTAGTTTCTTTCATCTCTAACATTTAATTCAAACTCTCATTTGAGAGATAATGGCATCATAGTTATTTTAAGTACTCCCATGTACTCTTCTCTATACTTCCCAAGCATTTTGTGCATTCTCACAAGACCAATTCTTAGAAAAAATATCAATTATCACTATACTATGCATAAAAGAAAGCGCCTTATACGTCCTTGCTAATAATAAAAAAATTGCTACCGGGGATAAATTTAGGTTTTCGACCATCTACACTTGTTGGACATATAGGCAAAGCTATGATCCTTCTCCAAAAACATAACTTGCATGTAGGTAAAAGAAAGGCCCGTTAGTGCATGTGCTAGAGACCTGAAGTTGGTCTCCAACATACACACTCTAGTGTTTAAATGAGCAATATTCTGGTGCAAGTCTAAGGAGGACAACAATGAAGGAAAGAACAACTCTGGAAGAAAGGAAGAGAGAAGTTACCCTTATAATGGGTGAGAAGACCCCTTTTATAATGCTAAAGTGGCTTATCCTCCTATGTGGGAAACCTACAAGGTCAAAGGTGCTTTATGGGAATACCTACGAGGTTAGTTTAGTCCTAATTGTAATGACTAATAAGGTAGCTTCACATGAGAACAAGACAATTAAGGTCAAGCTAATGACTTTTAATGCCACTAAGGATAGACACAAGGGTGCTCTCGACATTTGTCCCTCTTAATGTAGCATGGGCCCTGTAGTCTTTTATTCTCTTTATCAAAGCCATCAAGCCTTAAACCTTAGGCGCACTTAGATTAGCTTGGTCATTGTTACTTAGGTCACCAAGGACAACTTCGTTGGTTTCATCTAAGATGTTCTTAAATGAGGCTCCGAGGGCTATTATTAAGTTCAACTTGACCATGTTTCCCCTAAAGGAGCTTTCCATGTCAAACCTAAGGTACTCCTAAGCCTATGCAAGCTATGACCTAAGTCCATGTGGACTAATAAGTTTGTGCCATTTGTAAGAAGCATATTGCTTAATATCACCTACCACATTTTCTACACTTATTTTTAATTGTGGCACTATTAAGTTATCTTGCAAGAAAGATGCAATCCATAGTCGATGATATCCTAGGAATCATTCCATTTCAAGAAAGCTTTCATTCTAATAGCCCAAAATTTATAATTCGCTCATTGAACATTGATGGAGGAGAAAAAGAAATTGTTATTAAAAATGACATCTTACTAGAGTGTTGTAGAAGACAGTAATCTCTCCTTCACTTTTCACTAATGTTTCGCTCTCTCACACTTCTCTAAAGTTTCTTGCATCTCATAGATCCCTAAAGAACCTATAAGCTTTTATACCATTTTGAAAGTCTAAAGAAATATATTTACATACAAAACAAGAATTTGAGAAGGAAAAATGCTAAACATAAATTGAGTGATTAATATTACTCAGTTTTCTATATATTACACATTCATAATTGTTGCACAAGCAAAAGTACAGTGTGCATTAGTTTTTAAAGAAGACATTAAGAAACTAACTACCATTTGAATGTAGTTTCCAAATTCAAACTTGAAGAACTATTTAAACGTTAATTAACACCCTTCGAGCTCATGTATATCAACAACATTAACATAGAGGACCTTACCAACATAGTTCACGATTTTACTTAAAAACTAAATTCCTCAATTGGAAGCCATTGTAGATGAACTTGAAGG